AAGGATGAAAAATAGAGCTGTCTTGCTTTTGAGTTGGAGTTGCTGCAACAAAATGCTTTTTGAAAACCAGCTGGTCTTCACATATTTAAGGCATTTGCCCTGTCTGGAGCTCTTCATGAAACTACACCCTTCTGCTCTCCACTGGCACCCAGCTTGTGCCAGAAAGGTTGTTCATAAGAAATTTGTTTTGCTTTCTGCAGTATCCTATTTTATCTATGTTCTGGATCATCAGAACATTTCTATCTATTTCCTATTGCAATAATCTAAACAGAGTACTAGTCAGATGAAAGATCACAGTGATTGTTCAGGTATGAGGATAGCCAGGAACTGGGGCAAAGGCACAGAAACCCTTTTAGGGTGTCAGTAAAGATCCTGAAGACCTCTAGCTGAGATCGTGGCCATGGTCAGCTAATGAGCAACTGGTGATTCACATGTTTCTCCTAAAGTAGTACTTTAATAGTGCCCCATTATTTGTGCAGGGAGTTACTTTGTAAAGCTGTTAAACCCACATACTACATTACCAGCTAAAGGTTTCTATTGATCTCTCACTTTCATTTCCTTTAATGAAAAGTCATAGCTATTTGATTTTCTTGTTACTTCTAACAGCTGATATGAGCGAGCTGCTAAAGCAGCTCCAATGAAGTGAAAAAAGACTGGTGGCGTAGCAGTGCAGCTTTTTCACAGTCCAGAAACACTGCCAAGGCAGAGTGAAACCCAAGTGTGACATGCTGATAACATCCTCCCATCAGGTGGTCTTTTCCATTGCCTCTAAAATGTCAAGTCTGAGGGAAATGTCTTTGTTACGCTTTGAATGACCTACTTTTGGGTATCTGGGAATAACCAGGAGCCTACCCAAACCACAAGAGTGCATCTAATTTTAGCAGCCCTTCATTTCATGCATGCAAGCTTTTGTTCTGCATCTCCAGGAAAAAAACACGGATTTCTTTCTGAGCCAGAGAAAAATCTTATTGGTTTTAAATCAGCCCCTTGTCGAGTCACGATCACAGTAAAATCACCCCTCTTAAAATTCTTGAGTCTGTAATATTCATCTCAATTTTTCTTTAAAAACTAATAATGAGCCCATTCTAAAGGATCTACAGTTGCTGGTCTCTGAAGAAAATGTCTTAACAACCTCTGCTAGAGATAGTCAGGGCAGCTGTGCTTTGTATGTTCCCACTTCTCCCTTGTTTTTAATTGGCCAATAGTAAACGGATCAGCTTCTTTGGTGGAAGTTTCTGTGAGTCTTCTAGCTCGGTTATAAGGCAATCCAGGGAAAGTCAAGGACAAAAAGAAGAGATGTTAACGTGTTAGCAGGGTCTCTGAGGACACTACTAGTGGTGTAGATGGTGGACAAAAGCTCTCTGATGTAGTTTGGATAGAAGAAGCACTAAAAAGTATTTGACCATTGATAGGGATATTATGCTGCACAAAACTGTTTGAAAGGAAGCAAGTTCAGATATGGATGAAGCACAGGCTCCCTAGCTCACCATTCCTAAATGGGACATTGAACAGTCTCTCTTGCTAGGAGGGACAACATATAATTTCCCTCATATAATGTCAGAGTCCACTGTAGTGTTAGGCTAAAACACATGTTTAAATCCCACCCACACTGGACAAAAAATACAAGTGGAACTAACACAGAAGATGGTGGAGACTGAGCATTGTGAATGTTTATTTGGGACTTCACAAGACAGAAATGAAATCAAAGCCACTAAAATACAATGACATAATCACAACAAAACTATTACCGTGTTCTCTGGAGCCAGAGAACTTCCCAGCCAATGAGATTAACCATAAAAACAAGCAGTACCCGCTGGCAGCTATAAATAGGGGCAGTGTAGTTTGGGATTGAGTTAAGTGTCTGATAATGTGTAGTGTTTCCCTGTGGAGCCCCTTGAGGTTGGCAGTAGGTGCCTCTCTTCAGGAGCAAGCCTTGGGCAGCCTGGCTGCTGCACCCTCCCAGCCCTAGCCAGACTTGGCAGGATAGACAGTGATAATCACTCTAAAAGCAAAAGCCAAGCTGTCAAACAACTGAGCCCTTTGCTGTGCCACTGACAAGAGCACCACTGCCTCAGGGCCATGGTTAGGAACACTGGAAGGAGCCTCCCTCCAGTGGCTCATTCATCCCACCACCTCTGGCCGCCTCCACCTGCAGAGCATCGGAGCCAACCCACTTGGAAGGCTCCCAACCTGCTCTCCTGGAGACCTTCTTTCCCCTTCCTCAGGTGTGTGCTATGAAATGCAAGGGGTTTTAACCCTTTCAAAAGCCCGTCTTGCTCTTGGGGGGTTGTTATTGCAACAGCTGTGGAGTTTATCTCTTCAGCTGTCCAGTGGGCTCTTCATGGGATTTGTCTCAACAGTGGGGCAGCAATTGGCATGAGGTTACTGTGCGCTCGCTGAAAACACGCTCTCATCTTTTAACTGTTGCTTTTTGTTGTCATTTAACATACTGTTGACAATGTATTTGTGATCCATGTTTGAAGAGGCATGGGCAAAACAGGCAAAAGGTCTACTGCTGTTGGACTGTGAAGCACTTGATGATGTGAATTGTGTTGAGATTGGTAGAGTTGACTCATCTCTGAATTTCACAGGTTTTAAAGGACAACTTGGTTCACCTATAAAGGTATACACAGTTAGGAAAGGTGTTTATGTGAATATTTTTCTGAGACTCAAGCCGTGGGTTTATTGGCCCACACTTAGGTGCAGTGTTGGATTTGGACAGGTATTGATCTGATAATCCACTGAGGTCAAGCAGTGAGTGACCAAGAGTGAGGAGGCAACAACTCTAATCCCCAGATCACAGGTCACAGACTGGCAAGCTGCATGAAGGGAGCCTGCTGTACTTCCTGGAAGAAATAACCTTTGTCTTAAAAAAAAAAGCGAGAAAGTACTTGTACCTGAGCCTCTGAGCTATTTACAGGCTCTGTCTGCTGCTGCTTGTTGGGCAATGTATCTTCCACAGCCTCTTGATTTCAGGCTGGTTTTTTTCAGCATGGCAAATAAAAGGAAAAATAACTTGAAACAAATATTTCCTGTTCTGTGGTATTGAACAATGAAATTGTAAACCACAGAAGGGACCGGGCTTGATCTAAACGTCTTTGAAGTCAGCAGAACTATTTCCACTGATTTCAATGTGCTTTGGGCCAAGGCCACAGGAGAAAGAAAGCAAATGTTTTCTGCCTGAAGAAAGTATTAACCATCAGCATTCAAAGAGCAATAAAGTCTGATGTGTAAAATGTGTTCCTTTAAATATAGTAGTCAGAAACTTAGTTAATTTCCATCTGCTTCCTAATAATTTGCCACTATTACAGTAAAAAGGAATGTGTTTATGGAAATTGTAATCATACACTGAGAAGAAAAAGCACTTAAGGCTGTCATTTGCTTCCTGTCTTGATTCCATTTCATGTTGTGCATATTGTATTTCTCACTAACGTGATTGTGCTTATGCTGCTGGTTATGTTATCACAGATTAAGCACTGTAGATTTCCAGTTGAATTAAACTTCACTGCACTGATGGTGGTTGACAAATATATTGAAATCATTATTTTTCTGTACAGTTTAATCTCCAAAACATCACAGTGGGTTTGGTTTTGTTGTTGTGTTGGTTTTTGCGGTTTTTTCATTGAGGAGGATTGGTCAGAGGATATTTTTTCATTGAGGAGGACTGATTGAGGAGGAATAGGTCAGAGAGAAACTGAGGAGCAAAAAACTGTTGTTTTGGGAGTAGTGTAGGGGATGCCACTCCTATACAGAGTTAGTCAAGTAGGCTGCATGCAGCAGCTTCATGTGTAAAATCAGCAGTAGTTTTGTCTGCAAATTTTGTTTCACACAGTTATTAAATGCAAGGAAAGGAATCTATCTGCCAGCTGCCTACTGCCCAAGGATGCTGTCCTTCTGAATCAGCAGGCCCATTAGCATGTCAAAAGGCCATACTCAGTCTAGCAGGTGACAGCAGCCCATCGGGTGGATTCCTTGTTGTGTCTTGGGCTTTTTGTCACGCAACAGCAAAGCCTGAGCAGCTGAGATTGCCTGTGCAACAAACCAACCCCATCCAGCTGTGACGAGCCAGAGAGGAGATTCCAGGCTGGAGAGCTGCAGAAGACAGAAGATGACAAGATTCTGCCATGACTAGACTGCGTTACCTGCACATGAAACCAGGGAGTCAGTACTGGCTGGAAGACAGAGCAGGAGAGGATTAAAGGTGATGCAGAAAAGTGAAGGATATGAATTAATGACATTTTTCAGCCTTCTTTAGTGGTGGCAATGACCAACCATGTTGCATGTTACAGCTAAGAAGAATTTTTCAATGAGGCTTCCCATTTCAGGATATTTCTATGAAATAAACTTACCCATCTTTTAACACCAGGCTTTGAAATGTCCTCCCACTGAAGTACCAGTTCCTCATTTGGACTTTAGCAGAGTTTAGAATAGGGTTCAAAGAGGAGAAATCAGAATGGAGTTAAGAACATTCTTCCAATTTGTAAGAACCATTGTTTACATTCATGGGAAAACCATGAAGCAAGGCAAACATAATTTTAAAAAATGTGTGTGTAGTTAAGCATCTGGGATAGCAAACACAGTACTATTTGTACTAAAGTATGGGCGCTGCCAACCACAGTCCATCAAGAGACCAGTTCAGCTTGAATTTACTCCTTGGAAGCCCTCCTCCTTTGCCCCTATATTTATTCCCACTGCATAAATACAGGAAGAAAAATCTAACAAAGAAGAAAGGATTATGAAATCACTTTGTTCTCTTTCAGATGAGAATTCCGTGTCCTTCAGGCTGTCAGGCAGGGGCATCGTGGTCTCAAGATGGAAAATCATATAATCAAAAAGGCAGATTTTCTGAACGGGTATCTTAGAGAAAACTGAATTATCTATATGCTTTGGTAAGTGTTTTAAAGCAATTAGAATAAATGGCATGTGATAAAGCTTTCATATTTTTATAATATGTTAATGATTAACTTACTTCCTACATCTTTGTTGACTTAGTGGGAGAGTGACAAGGAACTGTGAGGTACCTATTTGGTAGCGTAACAAGTCGGACAATTAGCACGGGCATTCTTTTCCACTTCCCTTCTGGGACTTGCTTCATCCAGCTGACACTGCTTCACAGCCTCAGGCAACCCTCAGACTCACAGAAGTAAGTCTTCCTTTTTTTTTTTTTTTTTTTTAATATGACTTATTTTATGAAGTGCTGATAGAGAGCAGATGGGGAGAGATTTAAATATTTATTTGTTTCCTATAAAGAATGCTTTCCCAACTGGGAATTGAAGAATTAAGTTTTCAAGCATTAAATCATAGGGATATTGCTAAGAAGAGACCTTTGAAATTACTATACTGTTGTGGCTTTTTTAAAACTCCCTTTCTGCTGCAAGACTTACATCAAACAAAGGATTTGGTTAGTAAACCATGTACAGTATAGTTCAGTAAAGCTACATCTAGGTTGTAAAACTTTACAAAAGTGGGATTTGAATGTTAATTTCAAAATGCATGCAATGTCTGACAATATCCAAAGCAAGAATATTTGCTTAAAACATGAAATAAGTGGAAATTAATGAATTCCTGCTTACATTGGCTGGGAAAAATAGTTTTGTGCATATTTTATATAGGAAGAGTTTGCCTTGAACTTTCTCTTTAAGAGAAGTTACAAGTTGCAGTGGAATTCCTAAAGCAAAACTTTCTTTTGACAGGCAAATGTGTTGCAGACAGGGAGACTCAGACTTTCCCTGTCTATTGGAACATTTTTTAGTGAATTTTATCTTAGCTTTGCTATCATTTACTAAGAAACAAGGATTGCCTCGTATCCTTTAGGAAAGTCCTCTTTCAGCCACGCACCCACTGTCTGTGGAGGAAATCTCGTGAACAGGTTGCTGTGTGCAGGTTGTGTGCTCTCCTGTTCCCCCCTCGGCAGCAGCTCCTTTGCGCTGTCGGCTCAGGCAATGCTCCTTCCCCCTGGCAGGGTGCCCCTGCAGCACGTCCAGGTGCCCAGGAGTTCTTAATTTCTCCTGCAGCCTCCAAGAAGCAATAATTCCGTTCTTTTGGGTGGAAGGAGTTGCCTCTGGTGACATCTTCCCAAGCCCCGAGGCTGTATTCAGTACCCTCATCTCCCCAGTCATGTGTGAGCTCTCTGGGGCCTGGGTTACCTTAGTTACACCACCTACCCCTTAGAGCTCTCTTCTCTGTGCCAGACACACAAAGTAAGCAAGCTTTTGGGCTCTCTCTGCTTTCTGAAGCTTCCTGAAAGGGTGCCATCTCAACACAGCCAGGGTATCTGCCTTGGTTTTCTGGTGCTGTCATTTCTGGAATATCCCTAAACTGTTCTACTTCAGTTCTAAATGGAGATTCCTTCAAGACAGAGACAAAACAATCTGTAGAAACTCTGATAATACGGGGCCATCTGGGTCCTGCGTCAAGCCCACTGCCACCTCACTGCCTACAAACCTCCAACATTTCCTTAGGTAACAAGAACTTAAGGTGGGCTCAACCACAGAAAACTAAATTAGGGCTTGAAAAAATAATGAAGAATATATAGAAATTATCGATTTCTCTTCATCCTACCATCCAAGCAAATCAAAATATTTTCCTGAAATAAGTAAAGAACTTTTACACAGCTAATTTCAATGTATTTGTACTTGGTGGAACAGAAATCAAGATTGCTTTGGTTTGCTTGTTTTGAAACACAGTGAATAAATGGAAGCAGCAGAATTTATAACACTGGATATAGACATTTGGATGAAGGCATGTTATATCTGGAAATGACTTTTCCAGTAATTTCTAGCCCTATTAGTTTATCTTTTCTAATTGAAAATAGGTGTGTTAGAGGCAGCTGGAACCTAAACATGAGATATCAAGGCTCAAGACTTCATGAATGTCAAGGAGACTGTGTTCAAGAAATGGGCTATAAATGCAGCTAACTTTATTTCTAGGAAACTAGGAACAAAAGAATTGCCACACTGAGCGTTTATTTAAATGTTTTTTGAAGAAGCTAGAAATAGACTGATTTAGCAGTCAATGCTGGTAACTCTTGTGGCCAGGACCACAGCAAGACATAAAGCCACCCTTCAAGCAGAGCTGTGCTGCAACAGGGATGTCAGAAGGCTAAAAAATATTTATGATGTTCTCTTCTAGTCACATCCAAACTTAAGGGTCTAGGGCATTAGTACAGGTTTTGAGTATCATGTCAAGGATCATGCAATTTATGTAAGACTTCCACAGATTCATATGACAAGCCCTAGCTCCATCTCACACTTCCCTGCAGCCCCTTTCAATGTCTGAGATCTTATGCTCCAGGTGTTAATGACTGACCCATCCAGCTCTGCCTGGTGCCTCAGGTTCCAGATGGGGGCAGATCCTGCAGAAGGGATGCTGCTGCTGAGGATTGTATTACCCAGCATGTACCAACCTCTAAAGGACCTTTGCTAAATGGCAAACTCCCTCCATGTTGCTGAAAGCTGGAGCCATCTGGCTCTTAAACTATCATAGGAAAGGATTCATTTAAAGACAAGTCTTGTGGGTGATTGCGTGGCTGGGGGCACTCTCTTGCCACCCTAAAAGTTGGACATCTATCCCTGGCACTGTCCCTCATTCCCCCCTGAGGGAGTCTGAGACCAGTAATGTCTCAGATAAGCCCAATAATATTTAAATGCACGAATTAAGAGAGTATGCTAGATTTTTTTTTCCCCTGCGTTTGCCTGCAGGGAACAGGTTTCCCAGAGAAATTGTGAACTCCCCATCCCTGAAAGTGTTCAAGGCCAGACTGGATGGGTCTTTGAGCAACGAGGTCAAGTGAGAGGTGTCCCTGCCCATAGCAGGGTGTTGGACTTAGATGATCTTTAAGGTCCCTTCCAACCTAAACCATTTTATGATTCTATTTTGCTTTTATTCCGGTCCCTACCTGAAATACATCTGTCAAGGAAAGCCCTCCCAAATGAAGGAAATGAAAGATGTACTAAGAGAGAAAATGACTATCAAGTGAAAAGTCTGTAGAAGCAGCTCTCTTTTTTTTAGCACTTGTTTCTAGACTTTCCAAAGACTGTCCCCAGAAGCTGCTGGAGTGCTTACTGGATAGGACTGAACTGATTTTAAATGAAAACGTGGATGAAATCACGGGACACTGAGAGATGGCACCACAGCCACCTCTCGAAACATTTCTCACTTCTCTGGGTGAAAAAAGTTTTCAGTCATGCTTTTCTTCCACTGACACAGACACCACACAGACCTGGCTTGTTCCTCCTGGCGAGATTGCCTTTCTAGGCTGACTCCATCCCATGAAGTAGCTTGTGTGCAGACTTGGAATGCTGAAATCTACAGCTCTGAGTGAGCTCCCGAATCAGGAACTGCAGGGCAGTGACACCAACTGATTACTCAGAAGACATTCTGTAGCTGCCTGAATATGAGTTCGTTTGCCTTACGACTTTTCGTATAGTGACACTGTTACATCACTGTATTATTCAGACCACATAGGTAATCTTTCTACACAAATTAAATTAATTCAAAGTATTTATAGAATTACTAAAGCATGAAACCAGACAACAGAGTATGCCACTGCTTTTTGTGTTAGCACACAAAAAGGGATCTGGGATTTGAACTGTATTTTATCCAATATTGCTCTAAACATGCAGGGTCCAAACTTTTACATTTTTTCTCTCAGAAAGCTGGAAAGGACATTTGCTCAGGGACAAAAAAATTTGTTTGTTTGTTTTGGTTTGTTTGTTTTGTTTTGTGGTTTTTTTGTTGTTTGTGTTGTTGGGGTTTTTTTTGGGGGGGGGTTTCTTTTTTTTTTTTGTGGATTACAAGTGTGTGGCAGATCAAATTCTTCCTTTCCAAAGGGGATGCCTCTGTCTTTGCAATCTACAGAAATGGTACTGCTGGTGTTTTAGCCAAGTTCAATGCCTGCATCACCCACCTCCTGTGGATGAAACCTGCGCAGTGTCACCCCCCAAGGTGTGACCTTTTTCAGAGTCCAGCTGAGACAAAAAGTTTGTCTCTGGCTTCGAAGGGACCTTACAAAGCCCTGACTCAGGTGCTGCTGTTCACCCCAGCCATGCCAAGGGCCCTGTTGCTCTTCTTGCCACAACCTCCATCCCTCCCTCCCTCCCTTCCTTCCTACTTCTCTCTCTTCCTCCTTCCCTCCCTTCTTGAGGTCTCAGCAAAGTAGCCGCTGGGATGGGTGAAATCCTGGAGGGAGACGCCCTCTGCAGCTCGCTCACGGTTTTACTTGGCATCTGCAAGCAAAATGTCTTTTTTGGAAATACTGGACACAACAGTCCTGAAAAATCAACGGATCTTGCTATACCTGAGGGAAAACGAGTTTTCCTGATCCTCGTTGCCAAAGGTTTCCTTTAAAAACAATGCTTCTGGCAAGTGATAAGTATCTGTTCTCTTTTGATGATATCAGCAAAACCTATAGTGTGTTTATTAATATTCATAGTGATAGACACTGTAATCAGGAACTGTTTTGTTTTAATTTTGACATGGCAAGAAAAATCTTGTAACTATTTTTCCTTGATATTTTGTTCCTTATTTTCTTGCTGAATCTTAATATCAGGAGGTAATAAGTATGGGTTTCTGTTTGATATTCCAAAACATGCAAGTATAAGAAGTATAGCTCAATTTCATCATCGATCTCAAAAGTACTTCTTTTGCAACTTGTTCTTTCTCTAAGTCAGTGATACCAGGTTAGATCAAATAAGCTCCAGTGGGCAGGGTGCAGAGGAATGAGCCAAAATGAATCATGCAATTTTTTGTGTGTCTAGACGTTTGATAACTCACCTAATGTTTGTTGGCTGGTTATTCTCCAATGTTTTGAGAACTTTTGTATAAACCTTGAATTCTTTTATCTTTCATGTTTGCTTGTTCCATGGTGGTTTTTTTTTGTTTGTTTGTTGTTTGTTTTGTGAATCTTAAAGGAAAAGGACTTTTCCTATTTTTTAATTTTATAATTCAATTCTGGAGACAATTCTAAGTATCTTAGCATATGAAGATTTGATAGGGAGCTCAGAATCACAGATACAATCTCAATTCTGTGAGTAGGCAGGTGGGTACATTCAACAATGAAGTTACAGACTGATAACATACTCTGAAAAGTTTTCATATTGTTCAGGTTTAGCATCTGTGGGCTCAGCTGATTTCAACAGAAGCAGAAGGAAGTCAGCATGAGGCTCCCTTGCTCATGCTCATTTTTGTCTCCTACCTTCCCATCACTGGACACGAATAGAAAAGATGCTATTTTGATGTGGAACTCTGTCCCACACTTTCTGTGGGACAGAAAGAAAACCATTCATAATATCCTGTGAGGTTACTGTGCTCTGTGTCTGGTAACAACAGTTAATTAGAAAGGGGGACTTATAATCACTTTGTAAATAACACAGCAAATATAGAAAATATTTATCAATTGGATTCAGTTTAAGTAGATAAAAATATGGGAGACTCTTCCAGAACAATTTCCTCCATGCCAGAGAGGATTAAATGTACACTTGCAATAATGGAGATTAATATGTCCCACAGGAAATCAATCCTATTGGAGATACACAGGTGAACTGGGAGGCCAAAACGATAAAATTGCAGATGTTGCTGTGTTTGGCTGGCATCAAAAATCACTCGGTCCCATCCTCTTATTGTTGGCATCAGCTTCAGGACTGAAGTAAGTATGTAGTGGGCACTGGTATAAGAAGATGGACAGTGTTTGCCTAAGGCCATATATTTACGAAGATACCTTTTGTTAAGATTTACACAGAGGGATTTTAGCAACTTGACTGTATCATCTACTGAATCTGTTTAGTTTAAGATCAGTAAATAGAAAAGCTGTTGCTTTAGTAACAAAACATTGTTGCAGATCTATCTTATTATTGCAGTTCCCTTGGTACAATATTTCTTCAGTCTTGAATGAAATAGTAGCAGACGAAAAGGTATTTTAAATACTATATAAAATACAGAGATTCCTATAATCTTTCAGATCTACATTATAAATTCAAGGTTGCATCTTCTCTGATCACAGATCATTCATATAATTATCCAGACAGCTGTGCAAAAGATGCGGGAAATTAACGGGTTTGGGGTTTTGAATTAGAATAAAAGCCTAATTTGCATTCAGAATGCACAGTCAGCAAAAAAAGCTTAAATCTTTTGCTAGACTAAATAAATAAAATATTTTCCACCACAGTCTTCAGATGATTCAAGCTGGGGAAGCTGGACAGGTTATGAACTAGTGGGATTTGCAAAAGTAAAACACCAAAGAAATTTGGCTGAAGTCTGAGGGTGGGAAAGCAATGGCAGCACATCCAGGCTCCAGCCCCTGCACAGAGCATTGTATTTCTGATTAATTCAAGTGTTTCTGCCAATTCATGGTTAATAATCTAAAAATGGTGAAAGTTCAGTGACCATTATTAGACTTTGTGGTCTGGATTTGCTCATGCCTCTGAACTGCCGTGTTTTCTGTCTAACAGCAGCCCCAGCAGCTCTTGGTATGGGCAGCACAAAAGCTGAAGTCTGTTCAGTTTGGGCTGCTGCACCAAAACCACATCTTCCAGGAGAGAAGAGCATGGATTCTGCAGCTGCTTTGTAGGATCTCTTGGAACAGCCAAGGACCTGAGGATTTTGTCTGATTTAGTTCCTGCTAGCCAGTAACTCTAGGGCTCCTGATTATATGTAACAAGTATAAGGATCTTTGAGCAAAATAGTTAATTAACAAAGAAGAAAATAACTTGCAAAAAGACATTAATTTTCTTTAGGCAGATCTTAAAAGAAGATTATAAGGGGAGCTAATCAGAGACCCTTTCTGCTCCATGGGATATGATGAAATATATAGAATTAAAACAAATACGTTATTTGTCCATGGAAATTAAATTTCAACAGTTCATTACAGCTGGGGAAAGATGACTACCATCCTCCCTCCACGCACACATTGTTCTCCTTCACTGACAGGTTCACCTATTCACCCAAATAATAATGGCCTCTGTAATTTTAATTTTTTTCTTTTCAGTGCCTCTCTCCCTTCACATGGCAAGAGAGCAGTGTCTGCAACAGAGCAGAGCTCCAGAGGATGAGCTCCCTGGTCAGTGCCTCGCACCTCCAGCTCATTGCCTTCGCTCTGGGCACGGTAGGCTGGATCTTGTGCACCATTTCAATGGGAATGGTGGAATGGAGAGTGTGGCACGTGGACAACACCACCATCATCTCCTCTGGCGTTGCCTGGGTGGGGATTTGGAAAGTCTGCTTCATCAGTTACCTTCACGTCTCACCTGGCTATAGAGAACAGTTCTGCCATAAATTCAGTGGCTATGAGTCCTTCGTCCCCCACGAAATTTATGCTGCTCAGGGTCTCCTGTTGATCGCCATGTTCGTGGGCTTGCTGGGACTGGCTGCTACAATATTTGCTCTGAGAAATGTGTATATGGGAATCACTCACAAGACTCTTATTACCCCTTTCTTCCTGGTGGGTGGCTTCTTCTACATATTTGCTGGTCTGTGTGTCCTGATTCCTGTGAGCTGGAATTTCTATTCTGTAACACACAACCGGAGCATTGCTTTTCCTCCTTCTTATTACATGCCCTCCAGTCCAGTAGCTCAGGAAGCTGGTGCTGCAATTCCTGTTGGGATTGTGGCTGTCATCCTCCTGCTGCTAAGTGGGACTTTTTCTCTCTCATACAGATTTTCGGGGGCCACAAACACTAACATGAAATCCTGACAGGACAAATCCCCCCGTGCTATTTCAGAACAAGAGCATAGTCAAGAGATAAGGACAGCAGTTGGTTGTATAGTGAAGGAACTGGAGAATTTAATTTTGTTCTGTAGTAGCTAAGCTATTTTCTTATATGAACCAGCTGAGTTACCATCCTAATTGTCACATATGACCAGAGGTTCATCTTTGACATAACTGCTGTTGAGCAGCAACTGTGATTAAATTTTGCCAGTTGTCCTCTTTTGTATATACAAACATTACTGATTAATTTATTTTTTTGTGTAAAGTCTTAACCATGCTCAAGGAGCTGACTCTGAATGAACTCTTGTTAGAAAAATGTGAAATAACATATATTAAATGTGAATTTGTTTCCTTGTTGGTACTAAGCTCTTTTGTCCATTATTTAATTATAGCTGTAGTAAAGTATGTTTTGTGACAAGTCAAGACTTTTAAAACCAATCATATGAGTGTCATCATGGTTATGTCAAATGACTCTTCCCTGAATTGTCTAACAAATGTCTTGCCAGTTTCTCCTCTTCCTCTAGGGCACATAAAGGGCTGTGTCTTTATTGCTTCTGTTTTTTTTTTCAAGCTGTTTGCATTTTATTTTGCAATATGTTTGCCTGTGGGAAAGGTGTGCTAACTTGGGCAGAGCCAAAAAGTCTGCAAGTGTTTGCTTCTTCATCAGACACTTCACTGAATCCAAAGGTATTGCAAAAGACAGAAACAACTTGTACAAGTTATTACAAAACTGATGTCAAACCCAGGAATATTCAGTGCAACTTTTAGGGTATGATTCATCTGATGTAGACATCTATACCTAAACCGGTCACTTTGGGCTCTGTTTATAATCAGTGTAGAGGCAAAGCCTTTTTTCAAGATGTAGATGCCTCGAATGGTTGGGAGATGACATGCTCCCTAAAAACCTGTTTCTCTTAGTCCACTGTAATGGTTGTAATAACCAGCGTTGCTACCTCTGGCACATACAACCAAACTTCACTTAAGAAAAAAAGGAAAAAAGATGAATGTCCCGAATGCTGCAATAAGAACAATTAAAAAAAATAAATTCAGAGGCTGGGAGGAATGAGCAAACAGGGTTGACAAACTGAGGATCTCTTGAAAGAAGTCCTCAAAAACTTATTACACTTTTAAAGAAATGCTACAGGAATCTAAGTAGTTTAGTTTTACTCTTTCAATTGTCCTACATTTTTTAAAATACTCATGGATTCAGAGAAAGAAAATGTAACAAAAATGTAATAATTCTTGTACACTGCAAGACAAGGTAAAATGCCAGCAACCTGGGTTGTCTTGCTGGTGGCTGTTATTATCTCAGCTTGTCCTGGCAGTTCAATTTTTCCTACACATCTTCCACATGGTCTTGACTTTTATGAACTGTCTGACAATGTAGAAACTCCACAGCACCTTCATTTCCTCTCCAGTCTCTTCTGAAACAGCAGCTTATCTCATCATTGGTAATTTTTTCATTGCCGCAAGAATTTATCTTTTCACTGTTTACAATGCTGTAAAGCACTTTCAAGTGGTGTTTCAATGAAGGCAGTTAAATAGTTTGTTTATTAGATATTGTTTTCAGTTTCATTTCTAATGTACATCCTTTACAATGTTGGTAGGTTTTGGTTTTAAAGGTGCAAATCAACAGAACTGTTATCTCTTCCCACAGGGCCTACAATAGGATTAGATTATATTGTATTGTGGTTGTAAGGAAAAAAGAGACCTATCCATGTGTTTGTGCCAGCGTTTCTCCACACTAGTAAACTCCCAATATTCCCTGTCAAGGAATTAGAACTTTAACAGAAAATTGCCAGTTCTTCAACTCTTGTTGAGTTAACATATGCACAGAAATATCAAAAACCTCAACTGTATTTCTTAGCTGTATTCACTGAATTATTGGATTCAAATTGCATATATTCGTCTTGGCAAAAAAAAAAAAAAAAAAAAAAAAAAAAAAAAAAAAAAAACAACACAAAAAAACACCATCATGTACATGCCAAGTTTCTGTGTTGCTGCCACTGCTATTTCCACCGGAGATGATGGTCACTGTCCTGATGTGTGGATATGGAACACTAGTGGTATGTCAAACACGGGCTAGATGGTGAGGAAAATCCTCAGCTAAACACTAGAATACATTCCCTAAGGAGATATGTGGGTTTTAAAATAAAATTTTGGCAAAAAAAGTTTAGGCAAATAGTATGTGAAGACTGTAGGTACAAGAGAGCCCATCTCAGGACAGAGCAGTGGGACCCATGGCATCCTTTCCCAGTCTGTTGATAGTCACATGGTTCTTATATGATAAAACATAACCTGTGACCAAATACTACTCTATATCAAAACTCCCAGTCCTTCCCTGAGGAAAAGATAGGGAAAAAAAATCTTACAGAATCACAGAACATTTAGGTTGGAAAAGACTTCTGAGATCAGCAAGTCTAGTCTTTGGCTGATGATCACTTTATCAACTAGACCATGGCACTAAGAGCTACATCCCGTTGTTTCCTGAACGCCTCCAAGGATGATGACTTCCTAGGCAGTGCATTCCAATACCTGACAACCCTTTCAGTGAAGAAATTCATCCTGATATCCAGCCTGAACCTCCTCTGGTGCAGTTTGAGGCCATTTCCTCTTGTCCTGTCACTAGCTGCCTGGGAGAAGAGACTGGACTCCCACCTGGCTACAACCTCCTTTCAAGCAGTTGTAGAGAGTGACTTATAAGGTCACACATGAGCCTTCTTCTCTCCAGGCTAATCTTAGATTCGAACAAAGGAGAGGTGAAACTTCCATTGGTCGAAAGGGATCAAGCCTGTCTGACCTTGATCCCTCAGGGCTGGGTGATTCATTAAAATTTAGTGAATGTTTGTGCTCATTATGATTCTGATATTGGAAGAAAGTAAAGCCTCTGTGCTTTTACTTCATCAGCAAGGAGACCATTTCTTTGTGCATATTTTCACGACACATTTATTTTAGAGTCTGAGAAGCTAAATTACCTTTCAGTAGCTCAATTTGTTACCAGGTCAGTTGTGCTTGTATAGGTATTTTTAGGGTTATCTGTAAAATCAGGCGGCTGAAGTGATCTTGGTTTAAAACTCAAAAATGCAAAAATATTTTGGAAGGCTATTTTTAACCCAGATTGCTTTAGGGAACTACCTTATAGCCTGGACCCACAATCATTTGTAGCAGCACAGTTGAGGACAGGCAGCAAGCTGTAATGCAGACTGGAGTGAGTGGTCAGGGCTTTGAGGTAGAGAGATAAGGGGCAAAAACCTCTCAAGCAAATTTCACCACTGAAGAGATCATATCGCGAAGCTCGTCTCCAGCTTCCATGCAGACTGGGACCTGCTGCCTCCCCAGTGACAGCACCGCTTGCCTTGAGGGCTCCACCCTGTCTAGGAATGTCTCCACACTGGCCTCAGTCTGTCTACACATAAGCCAATCTCGCTTTATTTTTTCTGAGTTGACAATAAACAAGTACCTTGTGATTCACTCACATGTCTGAATTTACTGCTGGGCAAATGATCTGAATACCAAGACTCCGTTTGAGTTCTGCTGGGTACTTGGTGTAATGATAAGGCCCTCATCTTTGACCTCCATAACATACTCCTTGGCATTAATCTCCCACAGGATGCATTTTGTTAACCTTATTTTCATGTACCCTCTACCTCACCTGTCCGTTCATGGCCACAGGCCAAAAAGATGTATGAATACGTATTCAGTATTCCTCTAGGATGGATGTGCAAATAGAAAATGGAGCCGAACAGTGCCTAACAATAAAACAGCCCCACAGTACAAAGCCTGCTAAGACTTTACCCAGATGAATATGCAATTCAGACCAATGTCATTTGTGTTCAGGCAAAGGAAGGGGGACGAACTGGAGACACAGTACTGCAGAATAGGTCATTAGTCAGGTTAAATCAGTAAACAAAATTTTTCTTTGAGTCAGCAGTTTAACACGTAGACAGTCTTAATTGCCAATTTAGCTGATTAAAAGCAATGCTAGGCTCAGAAAGAAATGTCTTTGTTGTCACATGGCTTATGGTATATTACAGTGATGAGAAGGAGGGTGTTTTCCGGGATATTTTTAGACCTTAGACCATTTTCCCCTTAGAATGGAAAAAGCGAAATGTCACAGCCAATTTCCTGCACTTTAGGCCATTAAATACTCTAGGACAAAGAGTTTTTGCTTAAAAAAAATGTTAGTCTGGCTGGCATAGTGTTTAATGGCAAATTGTTTTCTTAAAATAGGAATCCAATGTATATCAAATTAAAGATTCCCAGAAGAGACATGTTCTCTGTGAAAAATATCTCTTTTTCAAAACTGAAGCAGGATTCCTTTCTTTCTTGCCAACATCGTACTGTCAAATCCAGTATCGGCTCACAAAATCATATTTTTCAACCAATTTATTTCCCTTTCCACTGTTCAAATAATTTACTCAGTTTCCCTTGCTTGAGAGAGTTCAGTAATTAGCATGGTGCTTTGGAGTGTTCTGGCTTTCAATTAATGTGTCAAAACCAACTGTATGCCAAACAGGAAAATGTAAGTGAATTTCATCTCAGAATTATAAAGCAAATAAATACTGACTCAAGGAATGGAGTACATTATGCACTGTTGACATCCAGTTCACAGTGTGCCACATCATCCCCTTTTTCTTGGGTTATGTGTGGGAAAGACTGTGAGGTTAATTACCAGAATGGTATTTTGAAGAAGCATATACATTCTGAATGTCTGACATTCTGATATAGAAGGCAACACTGTAAAACAGCAGGGAGGGGGCCCACCATGCCCACATCTAACCACACCAGCTTTGTCAGAGTCCTCCTGGATGACAATGGCTCAGGTGGGACCTACATTCTTTTGCAGCACTGCAGACATCAAGGACCCCACTGACTGAGAGCTGGCAGCAGCTGTGTGTGCTGAACCCCACTCTGATGCCCAGGCCAGTAAAATAATTTGCCATTCTTTCTTCCACCCCAGACTACCATCCTGCCTGCATTTCCCTATGTCATGGCTGTGGCAGTTCTCAGAGGTGTCTGGACTGCGCCCTGTTTGGTACCATCTTCAGGTGTTCAGCATCAGGCATGCTGGGCTGGATGTCACCTCCTGTGCAGCACCGAGCACAGCTTACCAAGGACACCTCCATCATCTCCTCCAGCACTGCTCAGGTAGGAAATGGGAAACTTGAGTGGTCGCTGCAGAGTCTTCAGGAGCTTTTGAATAAAGGTATGTCACAGAGCCAGGCTCAGTGAAGGTATTACCCCCCAAAACCTTGGTTGTTCAGAAGCTTTCACTGGCTG